GAAAGTGAGAAATCACCCCCCAGGGGGGATGGTCACGCCGCAATCCCTTCTCCTCCATTCTCCTCTCGGGATCTTGGGCACGCACGCACACGCGCCCGGCATGAGTTTTAAGCCACCAGGTCCGGGACGCGAACCGCGGTCGACTATGTGGGAGTCCAGCAACATAGCCATTACGCTAACTGCTGGTTCCCAAAAAATTATGATTCTTACCAACAAGAGATACACATATGTATAGTGATTAAGTGTAAATACAAAAACTATTAAGGGGCGAGCAGGTATTGTGGTGGTTAAGGTGCTAGACTCCCACATGGTTTGAGTCCCAGACCTGGTGGCTTCATTTTTAACTTTCTCTCTCTCTCTTTTTCTGTATACTCTCGCAGGTGAGCACATGTACCCTATAAAAAACAATTTAAAAATAATAGTAATAAATGAAATTAAATAAATAATTCTCTTTAAAAATTAATTAAAGTACTTTAACCTATTAGGCACAATTGCTTTTTCTTTTAGCCCCTTCTTTGCCAAATCCATATGCTTAATTTTAAATTAATAAATGTTAAAGAGTAAAAATCTTTTAAAACTAAATATCTGAAAATGTGCATCCCATTTAATTATAAAACGTTTTACTTATTAAATCATACCATAGTTGTGACATGCAGTAAACAACTCCTTTGCTTTTAATGTTTTCCATGACAACAGTATTTTTTTTAATTTATTTATGACAACTGCATTTAACAAGATCCCCAGATACCACCTGAACATAACTAGCTTTAGTAAAAACACTGAACCTGTTTCTGAAGACTTTCTAGTGCAAAGATCAGGACAGCTTTTATTTCTGAGTTAGCTTTTCTCTGACATTTATGATTGATAATGACTGCTGAAATTTAGTTAAATATACTAAGTCCCAATTACAAAAGCCAAGGGAACCAGCAGTTAGCGTAATGGCTATGTCGCTGGACTCCCATGTAGTCGACCGCGGTTCGCGTCCCGGACCCGGTGGCTTAAAACTCACGCCGGGCGCGTTTGCGTGCGTGCCCAAGATCCCAAGAGGAGAATGGAGGAGAAGGGATTGCGGCGTGACCATTCCCCCTGGGGGGTGATTTCTCGCTTTCTGTCTCTCTGTCTCTCTCTGTCTGTCTGGCGAGCGCATGCGCCCTATAGTGAAAATCTCTCTAAAAAAAAAAAAAGCCAAGCAATATCATATGACTATAACGCAGGTCAAATAACAACATCAGTATACAGAGATGTATAGTCTTACTATAATTTTAATCCTGACTGTAATGTGTTCATATAAAAGTATTTTATAATGTGAACTATCTTATAACTCATTTATTATGTAACAATGAATGGAAAGCAAGATAGTTATTAATTTAATCAAGTCAAAAATTATAGTTATGATGCTTTTAGAAATCTTACCTCTGTAAGTTGAACTATCATGGCTTTTATTTTCACTGAGAATCCGGCATAAATGCAAACTAGAATAAAGCAAAAATAAACTGTATCAATTTACAATCCTAACACCAGATGACACATAGCAACTAAAAAAAATTATGGAAATAGATAAGTTTAAATGCATTAGTTTATGATGACAACACAAACCTAAACACTCTGGTCAGAACCAATGGGTGCCAGTAAATCAATCCACTATTCTGAAACCGGGCAAATAATTTTTTTTAAATCAAGTTCCAGGGCCAGCTGGTGGTGTGGTGGTTAAGAAGACTGGATCTTACATGGGCAACTATGCAAGTCCTGGACCTGGCAGCTTGAAAAGCACACTGGGCACGCACATACGCATACACACTGAGAGGAGAATGTAGAAGGAATTGTAGTGTGGCCATCTACAGGGGGAAGGGACTTTCTCACTTTCTCGTTCTCGCTCTCACTTTCTGTCTCTGATGAGCACACATGCCACACAGCAAACTAAAAATAAAAGAAAATCAAGCTCTGTGGCACTTGGGATAATGCATTATTCAAGAGAAGCCAGATCCCAAGTGATGGCCTAGTTCAAATCTCCAGCCCTGTCAGCCCCAAACACTTCAGATACATGCATGAGTGTCCAAGATCCAACAGCCTAAAGGGCTGAAGGAAGGATATGTCAACATGACCACACCCTGCCTCCTCTACCTCTCTACCTCTGTGTGTGTGTGTGTGTGTGTATGCAGGCACGCGCGTGTGCATGCACATGCACCCACTAGCTCTACCATAAATAAAACTAAAAAACAAGCATTTATTCTGCCTTTCATTCACAAACTATACCACTGGGTAGTTCAATAGTAGGTAAGAAATGACTATGTATTGAATTATTTCAGCTAATAAAGGAGTGATAGACTAAGAACATCATCATTTTAAGATCTCTAATAGATTACACAATTTAGGCATCTATCAATGGTTGTTCACATCACCAAAAGAGACTATCAAACATCATGTGCCTCCTGATACAGATGAAAGAACACACCACTCACCCATGAAAATGTCTTTAAAACAAGGGGTGGCAGGACCAGTGGGTTGCGTAGTGGTTAAGGCACTAGACACTCCCATATGGCCAACCACAGTTTGAGTCCTTTACCACCACCGGACCTGGTGGTTTGCTTGCTTGCTCTCTCGCCTTCTCTCTCTCTCTCTGTGTATCTCTCTAGTCAAATTAAAAATGAATGAATAAGTAAAGTTAAATAAATAATTTAAAAATGAATGAATAAATAAAAATAAAATAAACACATCTTTTTTTAGAGAGAGAGAGGTTTTTGCTATAGGGCATGTGTGCTAGCCAGAAAGACAGAGATGGAGAGACAGAAAGCAAGAAATCACCCTCCCCGGGGAATAGCTGCACCGCAATCCCTTCTCCTTCACTCTCCTCTCGGGATTTTGGGCATGCATGCACATGAGCCCGGAGTGAGTTTAAGCCGCTGGGTTCAGGACTCAAACCAGTCATGCCACATTTTTGCACAGAAAAATACCTCGTGACTTTCCCAACGACCTAATAGATCCAAGTGCCAGAAATAGAGAAGACAGGTGAACATAGTGATACCAAGGAGATGCAATCACCAAAATTCAGACTGTGAGAAACTAATGAACAATGATCCCACCTCTTCAACAAATAAACCACAGGGAAAAATAAAATAAGGTGAGGAATACTGAGGTTAAAGGAAGCTTAAGAGGGGCCAGCAGGGAGCGTGGTGGTTAAAACCCTGGACTCACACATGGCCAAATACATTTAAAGTCCTGGACCCAGCAACTTGAAAATCACACCAGGAGCATGTATGTGCATGCCCAAAATCCTGAGAGGAGAATGGAGAACAGACTACCGCATGGCCATCTCCCTTGGGGTTAATTTCTCACTTTCCTTCTCTCTGTCTCTCTCTAGACTTGAGCACATGCACCCCATAGGAAAAAAACTAAAAAGAAAAAAAAAAGAAGCTTAAGAGATATGTCAATCACAATGTCTGGGGCCTTACTTGGCTTCTGCCTGAGACAATTATTTTTAAGAATTAATATTCATAAGATAATAGGATTATTTTTAAAAGGGTCTTTATCTTTGATAAATGTATATAAAAATATTTACAGAGAGGCCAGCCCCATTGCCTATTTAGTTCAGGGAGCCAAATCCCACATGACAAACATTATTTTAAATCTCAGCCCAGGCAACTTGAAAAACAAGCCAGGTGCATCTGCAAGCATGTCCCAAATCCTGACAGGATAGAGAAGTGAAGAAGAAATTGTGACATGCCCACATCCCATAGAGGGGTGTTATCTCTCTCTCTCCCTCTCTCACTCTGGTGAGTGTACATACCCTCTGGAAATTTTAAAAAATTTACAGATATAATGCTATTTGCTTCAAAACAATACAAAGGAATAGGAAAATGGCTGGAGTTTAGGTAAAAGAAGACTGGCCAGGAGTTGGTAATTGTGAAGCTGGTTGAAGATTTCACCCATCAAGTAGCTTTTATAACTATTCTAATGTCTCATCTGCTGAAGATTTTTCCAATAATAAAACTTAAAAACAAAACAAAAATAAAGATCATTAGGGACCAGCAGATGGCATAATCATTACATCACTGAACTCCCAGGAAGTCAACCTCAGCTCGAGGCCCAGACTCAGCAGCTTAAACTCATGCCAGGTATGTGTGTGTGCAAGCCCAAAATCCTGACAGGAGAATGGAGGAAAAGAGATTTTGGCGTGGCCATCCTCCCGGGGGTGGGGGGTGGGGGGTGGGTGTGATTTATCACTTTCTGTCTCTGTCTCTCTCTCCACCAAGCACATGCAACCTATAGCAAAAAAAAAAAAAAAAAAACTCTTAAAAAAAGATCAATGAATAAAATTTGTATTAATCTTACTTCATTAGATTAGTTTAAGTACAGCAATGAAGGAAATGTATGTATGCAGGATACAGTAAAAAGAAATATGCTTCACTGGCATTCCAGGAAGAAAGGCGAGGTTAGGGCAAAAGCAATATGTAAAGAATAACAGCCAAGAATTAGTTGTCCGGAATTGTTCTGAAACAAAATCCACATCTGGGCACATTATCATTAAACTACAAAAAACCAAATAAAAAATTGTTCAAATACCTCAGGGAGAAAACATTTGACAAAATTCAACATTCATTCACTCCTTTAATTTTAAAGATAGTTTTTAGAAAAACTAATAAAAAGAAACTTCTTTGATTCAATAAAAATACCTCAGGGAGAAAACATTTGACAAAATTCAACATTCATTCACTCCTTTAATTTTAAAGATAGTTTTTAGAAAAACTAATAAAAAGAAACTTCTTTGATTCAATAAAGTAGCAGATCTGAGCTCATGCTTCAAACCCCTTACCACTGAGACTTTCTGGAGATCTGCAAGGTTAAAATTATATCCATAATAACACCAAAACACTTTTTTCCTTTCTTGTTGTATGAACATTTATAATAGTCCCAAAGCAATGGGGATAAGACTGCTGATGCCTTAGCATGTGTCAAAGTAGCAGCACCAAACTATCTCACTGACTTTTTCATGACCAAGAACTCAAAGCAAAGACGTCAGAATCACTTAAGATGCCACCAAACTTGCATTGTATTCATGACCATGCGCAAAAGTCAGCTTACTTAAGAATGTCCTTGATGGGAATGAAATCAGCAAGATGGCTGAATAGGAAGCCCCAAACTTCCTCTCACTAAAACAACAATTCAACAACACACAAAGCTACACCCTTTATGAGAAATCCAGAAACCACTTGAGGTATACCCGTACCCAAGGTAGGCACAAAACCAGCCACACTGAAGCCAGGAGTAAAACTCATGGAACACGTTCACCATAGTTCCTCTCCCATATCGTCAGTAAAAATCTTCAGCACCTGTATTCTCCCTAGAAAGGGAGAGAAGACTGGACCAACATTCTGATTTTCAGATGTCCAACATTCTGATTGTGGGAATGAGGTGGCTGATGAAGGGAATGGTTTCTGTCTTGTCTGTGTTGGCTGCAACACAGATGAGATCTGGCATACTCTAGATGCCTGGGAGCTACTGAGAACAGAAAAAAGCAGGGTGGCATGCTGCTGCTCCAAAGGACCCATGCTACATCAGACAAAGGACAATGCAGCTCAGCAGCCTTTTCCTCAGGAAAGAAAGAGTGAATCAAGCATACAACATTCCAACTTTGGGGGAACTGCTTGAAGGATTGAAATTGTCTCTACAACTGCCATGATTTTATATTCAGAAAACCCTAAAGACTCCACCATAAAACTTAGAAATAAACCAATAAATTCACAGGATATAAATCAACATACATAAATGGGTATCATTTCTATGCACTAACAACAAACTTGTCTCCAGTCCCCCCAAAATATCCAAAAACTCCACTTACGACAGTTACAAAATACTTAGGAATAAATTTAACCGAAAAATGAAAGATCTGTACAATAAAAACAAATATTTTTCTATATATACAGTTATATTTAATGATACTTTTTTCTTCAATTTTCCAAGATTCACTGGAGGCAGTGTTATTGATATTGCTTATGCTTACAAATTTTTCTCAAAGTCACATCAGAAATGATGCTTGCTAAGTTGAATGTACACAAAGTTGTCATATCTTATTCAAGCTAATCAACATCAAACACATGTGGACACTTTAAGGTGAGTTCAGTACAGAATGCATAAACTATGTCCCCAGGAAATTTGAAATGAAGCAGGTGTTGGCTGGGAGGTTATTTTTTTTCCCCTTACTCTATGAACTGTGTTAATTCTATCTTCAGTAGGCCTAATTCTTGAATAAACCAGATGACTAATCACTAAATTAAATTTAAAAAAGAAATTGAAGAGTCAAATAATTGGAATGAGTCCAATTAGAATTAACACTGTTTAAATGTCATACTTGCCAAAGAAATCTAAATTCAATCCCTATCAATATTCCAATGACATTTTTCACAAAAATAGGAAACAAATCCTAAAGATTCTATGAGACCAAAAAAATAAAAACAAAAAAACTTAAATAGCCAGG